CTACGAGACTAACCTGACGAGGAGATGCCCATGGATTCTCCGCTTTCTTTGCACTGTCGTCAGCTGCACCGGCGGCATCGCCTTCACCTGATGTACTAACTGCATCTAAATTCCTCTGCACGTCAGCGGACATGGCTGTACACACCTAAATTGAGAATTGCTTCTATAAAATTCGCTCGGACAAACGAGGCGACATTCAGATTCCACACCAGAATTTGTTCCCAAATCCAGATGAGCGACTATGCGTATGATTATGTGATCACGTGATGACGTCAAAGATCACTGATTATCGCTAACGTAAAGAGAAAAGGAAATCAAAATGTCTTGATGGCGGGCTCCAAACTGCAACGCATACGGCACGCGTCGCGTATGCTCTGCGGAATGCTCCATGTCAGGATTGTACGAAATCAATCATGCTAACCGAACAAATCTATGCACACAACAAACTCCTTGCGAAAAAAAAAGAACGTAAGCGGTCCATTTAACATCCAGGAAGAAGTCATGCTGAAATCCGTTGCAATTCTCTCAAATTCCTCAGATCTAGGTAAGCGTGGCCTCCAACTTACGTAAAACAAACACTAAGTGACAGATACTACACCGGCCACAACCGGCTACCAAATCCGAGGTGCTTCTACACTTCTAATAACCTTATTAAGCATGTTCGACCCGATGTATATGAACAAACGAGTTAAAACGCATAGAAAGAGAGAAAGAGTCATGGCCTAGAACATTCCCTCGATCGATCCATCCATTGAAGACAGTGGCAAAATGCATCAGAGAGAGCGTGGCTAACGGAGGGTGCAGAGAGAAAAAATACTCTGCGTCCCTCCCCGAAGCCCCTAGGTGCGTAACGGCAGTATTCGACAAATTATTTCATTGCTCTCTGGAGGCATTTGTAAAATCTTTTCGTACATACTGTTTATGGACAACATTTGCAACCGTAAGAATTTAGTTTATCTGATAATGGTCTCAAATGATCAGTTGACCTCCCAAAGAAATAGATTTCACTCTCTCTATCGTCAAAATCACTAACCTCTCAAGCCTTGCATGCAGTTCAAACACCCACTTAGTAGGAACAGCATGTCCATGCTGGCGTAAGTTTTTCAGGCAGAGAGCTCGCCACAATCATAACACAACTCATGTGTGGCCCTTTAAACTGTTAATAGCGGAACCGTGTTACAGTAGGAAACCAAGCGTCTCCTTTAGACACGAAGTGCCTGGTTGAATTCCGTGATTGGAGCCGTAGTGATAAAGTGTTAAAACAGTAACAAATAGGGATACAAGTGTTTTTGGATGGAACTATTCAAAGAGTTCATGGGTTGGCACATGTCCATACCGAAAACTGATGTTAGCATTGGAGCGCGCTATGATGTGCGGTGAGCTGGCGTTGCAGAAATCGACTTCGTGCTGCTGCTAACACGTCAGTGAAGCCCTTTTATTGGAAATGCGAGGAAGAGATCTTTCAGCTGCTGCTATGTTTCGGTTTAGTGGAAGTGATGAGGACTCTTTCTCTTTGTTCATTCACGATTCCTGTGCCCATATGCTTCTCCAATACCTATTATGAATTTTTGTTATGCTTTACCTTTTGGTCACGTTCACTTTTTCTTACATTTGCTTGTTGAAGTTTTGAGCAACTGGTTCGGAGTATTTCTGAGCTGGTCTTTCATTGGCTGTTATGGCAGCAGC